TGAAATACCTGGAATGTTTGCAGACAGGAAGCGCAACTGGATCGAGCATGTGAAGAGAGTGAGAGCGAGAGTGGGTGAAGCGATAGGTAAATTGAGGGGGGTATACGACGGAAGTGGGGAATAAGGAAGGAGGTCTCCAAACTAATATATGAGCGAGGAAGAGTGCGATATTGTATGGGTGTGAGGTATGGGGTGTAAGGCCGAATGATTGCACTGATTTAAAGCCCTTTGAACTTTAATAATGTGTGGATGCACCCTGATGTGCTACGCATTCTCCAACGCGCCTAGGCATGCTTCTGATCAGGTGGTCAATGTCCTCCTGTGGTATCTCATTCCAGGCAACCACCAACTCCTCTCGAAGTGCTTCTAGAGTCTGAGGAGGACGTTGCAAATTGAGCAATCTCCTACCCATATATCCCACACGTGCTCAATTGGGGATAAGTCGGGAGATCTTGGTGGCCATGGTAACAATGTGACATCATTATGTTGAAAGAAGTCTATTGTGACTCTTGCAACATGTGGTCGGGCATTATCTTGTTGGAAAGTTGGATCTGCCTGGGTGTCAAGATAGGGTAAAGATGGGGTTCTTCGAACTTCGTGGATATAACGCTGCGCGTTCATGTTACCTCTGATGAAGGCTAAAGGTGCCTGGAGCCATAAGCTATAGCACCCCAAACCATAACTCTAACAGTGTGATGAACATGTCTTTCAATAATCTTAGGCGGCGATCTTCACGGTCTGTTGCTCTACGGCGGCGTCCAGTGCCCCTTGCTCTTTGCGTACGGCCTTCTCGAAGCCATGCTGACAACACCTAACCACAGTGTCTACACTTCTTTGCACTCAAACTGCAATTGCCCGAAAGAAAGTCCAGCTTCCCGAAGTCCCACTATACGGCCCCTATCAAACTCACTAAGTTGACGAAATCGTACAGGTCTCCGTACTCTAGACATCGTAACGATCGTAAAGGATGTCAAGAACCAAAATCCGCCAACGTTGATTCTTTACTGCGGCTGAAATATTCATTTTAGAGCGTTAGTGAATTAAAAAAAAGCAGTATAAAAACCGGAATGTCCAACTGATAAGGCTGAAAATGTTTTCACTTGTTATTACAATAAGATAAATACATTCACAACTTTTATTAAATAAAACCATTTTAACTGGGTGTTCGGATTTATATGTAACTTAGTATATGTATAAAATATTTACAACATTTTTTGTCTTTATTGAACCAACTTGGGGGTGACTTTCATCAATCTTATGAGGCGTGAGTTATAAACTCTGTTGTTATAACAGATAATTTATTTGTTAAAGTATCCTAAACTGCCAACATACGCCGTTAAAATATTCTCATTCTAAAATATACAGATATGAGATTTATCCAAAGAGCTAGCAACGTTAACTAACAATCGTTCGCAATCTGGCAACCATGTCGCACCCTCAAAAAATGGCCGCAGACAACTAGACAAGTCAGAGTGTTGGCATTGAATAGCATGGAAGTAAACCTTCTTCAGTCTATATGTTTTTTGCCAGACACACTTACCGATACCATTGCTACCGGTCGCAAATATTCTTTGCAATTTTAAACAATTATAATATTCCCATGATCTGTAGTTTATTAATTGAAACAGAGCAGTTACATCATACTTAGTAAATTTGGATGCCAACCTTAATGCAAAATAGGTTCTAAATTGGTACGTATAGTTTTCCCGAGTACATTTACGTTGGTAGTAGTTTTCTGTGTTGTGACAATGTCGCAAAGCTTGTCAGATAATTACGTCAACGGCTGTTGTTTATTTGTGGTTTATTTCTGTTCTTTTTACCTCAACATTTGCATTGTTATTTCATACAAACAGTTGTATCTAAAACTTTGAGGTGTCCTTGTAAGCATTTTGCTAAAATGCCGGAACCTCTGGGTCGTCAAGCAAATGAATTCGTTATTTCTTGGAGGAAATATTTTGAGACCGAACTAGATCATGGAGCTCATTATTGCTTTTACAGTCTGTAAGAGGGGTGTTAGGTAGTAAATAGAATGTACTAGCTCTAGGGTTTACAAAACATACGCTGCGTAATGTTGGTTGCGGTAAGGCATCGAAGACATAAAGTAGATTTTGTAAAACGTCCTAGGATCTAGTAGCTTTAATTAGTGTGGCAACCATGTGCGTCAGTCATTATTAGACGTTGTGACGTAACTGCTTTAATTCAGTGAATATAGTGTAGGTTAGTGTGAACTCATGATAAAGAGGAGCCAGTTCAAAAAGAAGGGACAGAATATTGATGAAAATGTATTTATGAAAAGTTATGAAGGAGTTCCACAATAAATTTGTAATTGTGTATTAACAATAAGCGAAAAAAGATTTACTTTTGCTATGTATTCTTGACTGCAGTCATATTATCAATCTAATGCATTTTTTATGTAAAAAATGTTAAAACCACCAGGCAAAGTCAACATTCACCAAATTACAAGAATTTTCCGTGACTAAAAAAGTCAGTTATAAAAATTGTATGCCAATGTCTACAGGGAGATTCATGAATTCATGACAATGAAAACATACGTATTTTTTTGAAGTATATTTTATCCTTCGCTCATTCTAAACAAACACTATACACTCACCATAAATCAGAACGATCAACCTTAGAGACGCCCTTTGATATGATTTGGTATAGGCTCCGCACTGGCTCAGTCAAAAACTGTTACCAAAATAGCATTATTTCAACGAAATATTATCACTGTTAAATATAAAGCCTCAAAGAATTAACTGTAAATATACCACACTACATAAATATATCGGACAAGACACACATCTAAAACCTGTAATATAGTGCAAAACTACATTACGGGACGGTAACTATTTGAGAAGTCGCTGTCAGGAACCATGGGATATGAAGCTATATGAAGCTCATTTTATCAAAAAGTTCGCTACTTTATCTGCAAAAGTGACTGACTTACAAGCTGTAGGAATTCAGTGTTTTTGCGTACAAAATATGCCGTTGCTCCAGAAGTTACAGAATTATGTATGTTATATCACAAATCTTCTTTTGCTTGTGTTGTGACATGGTTATGAATTACCCTGTCGAGAGAGGTATTTTCCAAGTCGTATAGTTGCCCAGAATTTTTTTAACTACTTTTTGTATTTAAAATATCGAAACTATAGACCAATTACACATTAAAGACTCTCCTGCATCCTAGTTGAGAAGTCGTTGTCGGTGTCATGTCAGATTACGTTGGTTGTCATTTTGTTGATCGTTTGCTCCCGTTTTCTTTTTCTATAAAGACATGCAAATTCTTGTAATTCAGTGAATGTTGTCTTTGTCTGGCGTTTTTAATAGTGTTTACAGTGAACATGCAATGGATTGAATATCGCAGCATTTCCGTTCATTACAAACTTATTTTGAAGCCTTTTCATAAATAAATACTCTGTCGCTTCGTTTTAAACAAACATGCTCCTTTTTCTTATTGGTTTATACAAACTACAATAGACCGTATCAGAAT